GATGATGATGATGATGATGATGTTATATCATCAAAACACTAAATATAAAACAGAGAATAGAGGAAGGTTACCTTTATCTATCTTAATGTCATTAAAATTGATTTTCAATATAAAGGTTTCGAACAGCTTTATCAATGAAACACTTTTCTCAATAACTTAAATCAAGCCGAGATCGACCCGAGCAAATGTAAACCATCAATAACCGTATCCAGTAATTTGTCACGCCAGATTCATGCGTGCTACAGCGTATCTTGGACTGGCGCCAGATCGTGGGACCCGGACGTGTTTCTAGAACCATTGAAACTTATAATTCCATGTGCTCCATCTTAAGGGAAAAAAACAGTTTAAGGAGGAAGTGGGCTCTCGATAATGGGAGAATACAATCTTTGTCAAAAGTTATGAATCCACCAACTCGAGAAAACAAATTTTACGTAATCCGCAAGGAACCTTCGAAACGCAGCACGCAAGACAACTGCTGATTGAATTATAACTCGAGCCTACGTTCTTTCACAAGAGTAGGAAGAACAAGTTAGCCTCACAAGAACCCTTTGTCACCCCCTTCTATCCATTTCAATCGAAATTTCACAGCTGTTTTTCAAATTTAAGATCATCTAGCCAACTGTAAATTTCCCAGCTCAGTTTTAATTCTATTTTCTTTTTTATTGGTGTTGTTTTTTTTGTTTTTTTTTTTTCACATAAACAAAAACAAGTACTTACCTCGGTCGCCATGTAGTGGAACAAACCTCGATGCACTAACAACTAAACTAACCAAAAGCAAAATGTAAATATTCGACATAGTGAGAACTGACATGTTGTGCATGCTACAGCTACTTTCTTCACCTCGTCTAGTCGATCTAGCCAGCTTTTATAAGTACCGTGACGGAAGTGTTTATAAGCCGATCAACAAGTCACTTCCCCTTCCTGAGCGCTTGCAATTCCTTGTCATGTTTTTGTTGTTGTTAATAATGAGACTTGTCAAGTTTTCCCATAACTATGAAAATGAAAATCGCCTTGCGAAAACTTGTCAAGGAAAATTTGTTCATGTGTAACCGCCTTTATTTACACTTTCGTACAACTTCGAATGTATGCAGGTCAGTGGGCGGTAGCAATAATACGTTCGCTACACTAAAACACGCTGAAATCTCTCTGAAACGGTCTCAAACGGTCTCAAACGCTTGGTCTATCCCAAAACCATAGCCGAACGAATCAGATAGGTTGTATTAAACTTTCAATATACCTATTATATGCCATATCTGAAGAAAATCATGTGAACCCTCCGACGTTTACTCAATGCATGTCGTGACTATCCCTCCAAGACTATAGACACATACCACTACGTGCTTTCAAACTAATCCACTTAGCTTTCTTCTAGGAAACAGGGTGACTAAGAGATTAACTGTTCCTCGTTTTCAGGTTCTAGACGTCGGCTTAACTTTCGTCACTTTTCCACATCGTTTTCCCATGTGAGCCGGTGATCTCGATCGATCGATTGAAAAGTTTGCCAAAATTGAGGACATCTGTTTCGCTGCTACTATGATCTTGACATGAAGTTGATAATCAAGGACATTTCAATGCAAGTTGCCGTTAACTTAGTGGTGGGTTTCCATAGTGCCACGAGCAATATATCTTAACCTCTTAATTCTGAATATGGTGTGCATATTCTCAATACTGTTCTCTATACATATCCTAAGATGCTGACAAGGAGAATTTGTTTAACAATCAAAACCTTCATCCTTTACACCCTAACGTCAGTATGCATATTCTCAATACTGTTCTCTGTACATTTCCTATGCTGACAAGGAGAATTTGTTTAACAATCAAACCCTTCGTCCTTTACACCCTAATATCAGTATGCGTATTCTCAATACTGTTCTCTATACATTTCCTAGGATGCTGACAAGGAGAATTTGTTTAACAATCAAAACCTTCATCCTCTACACCCTAATATCAGTATGCATATTCTCAATACTGTTCTCTATACATTTCCTAAGATGTTGACAAGGTGAATTTGTGTAACCGATTCAAGAGCTTCTTTAATTGGTGATCATTTCCTTTACGCTCGTGATCTTCAGGGGTGATTTGTAAGGAGAAATAAGATGGTAGTCACTCTTTTAAGGGTCAAAGCCCTAACTGCTGATAAAACTAGAAAAATATTATACATTTTCAGTGTCAACAACAATAACTTATTGAGATCTTTCCGTCAAAACCTCTTCCGCTAAATGGTAAGTTGTAAATTGTGCTTAGAGCGATGCTGATGCCAAGGTTCTCCTTTCATGTTAAGTCGTAAATTGGGATGGGCTCTTTTTTTTCAGCTGAATCTCACTACAAAGAGCAGTGAATTCAGAATTTTTACCCTCGAATCATCAGTCGTTGCAAGTAATCTTATCTATGGCGATTATCATTGAGTTACCCTCAGTGGCAACAACAACTGTGGATAACAGATGGGCTGTAAATCTCCTTATTCTGATTAAAACTGGAAACCCATAATATGCACCAGTTGGTGAGATTGGGTTGGGTAAAATTGAGAACATTCCTTTATTTTCTCACTTCATTAAATTTTTCCTTGTGAAAATGGACTTGTTGTTTTAGTTAATCAATACCTTAAAGAAACATTTTTATCAGTCGCATGAACTTCAGGCCTTGAGTGCTCAGAGGTTGGATAATGCTCTCCAACTGGCCCTGTTTGCTGGAAGGGTGGACAAATGTTTATCCAGTGGATAGCGCAATTTGTCTGTTGGATAACGTTATCCGACCTATCTTTTGAATAGCAATTCAACAGCCGATAGATGACTCTTTCATGTGACAAAACGTGATAAAAAATATTGTTTTAAACTCAAGTATCCATAAAATTCTAGTTACACTAAGTTCCCATGCAGCATATTTATCATACAAGGAATCACACAGAGAAGAATTCATATTTAATCTCTGGTCAGACGTTTTGTCTTAAAACTTGACAACTTGATGTCCTTTTTTCTTTGGTGCTTTTAGTACTTTCAAGGGGGTACCTCCTGGATCCTCTAACTCAGAATCTGCACTATGATGCCCCTTTTCACTGTTTATGTATCCAGCATGTGAAGTGGTCTCTGAAAAAAGAAAATGAATGAACAAAATTTGAATACATATTTATCACTTTAAAATACTTTTTCATTTTGTGAGGTGAAGTATTTTAACTCCTTTTTCATGCCAAAGTCAATATCTCTTGAGGAGTAACACCACCTGAACAAAGTGAGTTCACAATGTAAGTTCATATGTGAGAGAGAACAAAATTGGGAAACTCAATCATAAAAACTACAATATTCATTTAAGAAATAATTTGTTACCAGTGTTTGGTTTGTTTCTAGCTAGTTCAGGGCAGTCCCTCCGAAAATGTACCACTGATCCACAGATCTTGCACCCCCCACCTGACAGAAGAAATAAAGAAAAAAAAAACTTATGAGAAAAATGCTACTTATAGCAATAATAATCCATGTCAACAATCTGAACCAAAGACAATAACATTCCTTTGGTGAACTGTTAGGATACATTTCTCAAAATAAAAGGAATTTGCCTTTTGAGAATCTACAGTTTAGAACTGTGAAGTTAATTTTTCCAAATTCTGGTCTTGATACTAAAGAACTGGGTTTAGTACCCTTGATTAATAGGCATAAGCTTCACATTGTCTTGTTAACTAGAAAATGCATTTATGGCTCAATGCCACCTTATCTAAGAAATTATTTTCAATTGAAGGCCTGTGTACACACAGTTATTACTAGACACTGTAACAACACTCGACAACAACAACAACAAACAACAAATTTTATTTAAGCTTAATAAGAAAATTACAAAGCTTGGGCCCACAAGTAGCAAGGGCTATTCAAGGCGGGCACAAGAGAGGAAAATAAAAAAAAGAAAAGAATTCTATAGAAAATGAATATTTATATGTATAATTATAATATATAGACGAACAATCCTAAAAGAAATCTAGTTTGCTGTGTGGCTTATAGGCAGAATGAAACAGGAGGGTAGACTGTAGTATATACTGGAAGTACACACAGGTATAATTTTGAGAATTGTACTCTAATATCAGCAATTCATATTGCAAAAGTCAACCTAGAGGTTGCCAAGACATCTTTTCATTTTACAGGTGTGATGGAATATAGTAGTCTTCCTAGCCATGAGCTCACCATTAGGATAGAGTCCTTTTGGGTTGTCAGGACATGCTCTTGCTATATGACCTGTTTCTCCACAGATAAAACACTTTGCAAAAGGAAGATCTGTATCTAAAGGGAATAAAACATGAGAGATGAGATGTCAAAAAATATTTTCTTATAGCCTCATAGATTTCATGTGTACCTCTAGGGCAGAGAATATCAGTTGCTTGTCCCAAATAATAAACAAAAAGTCCACAATGACTCACATGACCAAAATCACAAAATACACAGGAGTATTGCTATTTCTGTCAGATGGGATGTTATTTTCTCAGTGCACATTTCTACCCCTTTCTACCATGGATGGAAAACAGCAATGTGAACCTGAGTTAACAAGAATGATCCTGACATGAGCTCAGGGCCCAGTTATTCGAAGGCCGCTTAGCACTAATCCAGGGTTAAATTTTAATCCAGGTTTCTATATTTCTCTGTTCAAAAGCCGTTTTGGGATAATTTTCCCAATTCTTTTAAGAGAATTCAATCATCAAATTGTAGACAAATGGAATTAAACTGAATTTTCTTCTAAAGCTTTCAGATCTGAAATCAAATTTCACACTAACCCTAGGTTATCTTAACCCGTCTTTGAACAACTCGGCCCTGGATTAAAATTAACCCTAGGTTAGCACTAATCTGCCTTTGAACCACTGGAAAATAAATCAGGGCCATCTCCCAGTGCTCTAAAGGATCTTGACGGTAGCTACCATTACCATAACAAAACAATGACCTTCGCCAATGATTAGCAAGACCTCTTGTTCTAATCTCCAATACAACCCAAAAATGTGCAATCAACTCACTGTTTTGTTTACTCTTGCAATTCTTAGTAGTGTGCTGCGAGGATCCACATTTGTAACAGTTTCCAACACCTACTTCTGAGTTCTGGGCCATAGGGCATTCTGCAACCAGGTGACCAGTTTGACGGCAATGAAAACATGTCTGTATGCATTTGATACAAAAGGGAAAATTACTAATGGCTAAGTTGTACACCATATCTTTCACCACACACATACTGTTTACCCATGTTACATGTACCAGTTCAGAAAAAAACCTGACAATGTAAAGCTTAACTTTTTTTTTGAGCCAGATTTATGAATTGAGGAATAACTTTATAATCAGTCAATATCATCAACCAAGTAGAAATAATCCTAAAGAAGGATCACTGAAGAAGAAAATGACTGCTGTTTTAATGACCTCAACAAAATGTAATCATCACAGTCAAATATCAAGCGACAATATAAGAACTGTGATGACAGGTTCTGAAATTGAATTTTTTACCAGAAGCCAAGGGGTTATTACAAATTTATTTTAAGGTGCAAGAGAGTCCAATTCATAAATTTCAGGCTCAAAAAGAGTACAAAATAGCAAAGTTGTTAAGACTTTTTCTTTGCTTAAAAAATACTTCTACTCAAGAACAATCACCAACTGAGTGTATAAGAGTGCTACAAAAAATTGACGCACGTTTAATTACTTGAGTGATAATTTACAAAAAGTGCATTGGTAAGTTTTCAAGTTATTCACCTCCTCTTTATTCATATACAGACTGTGCTCTTAGGAAAATTGTAGGTGTAGTGTTTGTGATTGTTTAGGTCTTCCCTTCCCATCCCCCCTTGTTTGTACATCAAAGCATGTGTTTTGGGATGTTGATGATTAAACAATGTGTTTGATTCTTGCAATGATGCTGCTTACTCTTTGTGGTTAAATATGAATCATCCTGGGTTAAATCCGTTTAAATAAACTACTGTAACAAGCAAGGTGCTTTAAAGGTTCTTATTCAGGAAATCTGGGGTGCCCTGTTCTGCCAAGCCTTCACAAAAATGAAGTTTATAAACAAGTCTCCCAAACACAAAACTTGGTCACATGAGGCACCCTGGGCTCTGCTAGACCACAGCTCTGACATAACCATCATTACCTTTCCTTTTGCTCTTCGCTTTCTTCTTGCTTCAAGCTTTTTATCATAACTTTCCTTCCTGCTTCCATTGGTGGGTATTTTTCTATTCAGCTTTTTAACGCCCTTCTGTAAAGAACCATTTGTTTGAAATTTCTTGTTTCTAATTTTTCCACTGAAGTCTCTTTCTGATTTCACTACTGGTTTTTTCTGTCTAAACTTTGCATCTTTCTTGCTAAACCCAGTTTTTTCATTTCCTTTTTTACCAACTTCTTCACTTTGAGCATTGGAGTTTACTGATTTCTTTGAGATCTTAGGCCCACTGATGTAGTTATCATCTCCTGTAAACGAAAGCTTTTTACTTCTTGACTTCTTGGCAATCTTAGGCTCAGTGGCACCCTCATCACGATCAAAGTTCGGCTTTCGTTTCTCGCCAGCGAATTTAGCTTTCGTCCCAACTGTTTCAGAACTTTCTTTGCTTGTTTTAGTTGAGCTTTGGTTACCTAAGTTAGAGGGTAAGCAATTTTATGGATCGTTTCAAGTTCTAAAATCAAGTTGTCTCCACGTGCAAATCAAATGAAATAAACTACTGTTCCTTACCACCTGAGTTGACAAGTTCGTGCCAGGGTGTTGCGTCAAGACTTGTCTTCTTGGCAGGACGAGCAAAACGAGTCATTTTTGTAGAGTAAAGTTACTTCAATCGAACTTTATCGAACTTCGTCCACCATGTTGAAATAAACCCAGCGCAGGATAGTACTATGCATTTCTATGTCGTAGGTACGTCATGTATGGGGAATTATTATGTCCCCAACACATATTTGACAATTATTCGCCGAAGGCGAGGTGGGTAATTCATGGCAGTCTCCATATAGACTCCCTGTTACCCAGTCGCCATATAGACTCCCAGTGTACCCTGTGTACCCTGTGTACCCTGTGTGCCCAGTGTACCCTGTGTCTATATGGAGACTGGGTAACATGGAGTCTATATGGAGACTGCCATGAATTACACAGGGTACACAGGGTACACAGGGTGCACAGGGTACACAGGGTACACAGGGTACACAGGGTACACAGGGGTACCCAGGGGTACACAGGGTACACAGGGTATATGGAGACTGGGTAGACAGGGAGTCTATATGGAGACTGGGTAACAGGGAGTCTATATGGAGACTGCCATGAATTACTTGCCGCGAGGTGAATATCGTCGAATA